TTTAGTTTATATATATATATTTTTTATGTTAATGTATATATATATTTTTTAATATATAAGATAAAATAAATATTTTTTAGTTATATATATATTTATATTTTTTCGTTTTTTATATTAATTTATATATATGAATATATATTTTTATATAAAATAATAAATATATTTTTTTTTTTCAAAAAATGAACAAAAGAACGTACCTTAGACTCGATTCTGACCTGAAACTCGTAGGCAACGTTAAAGGTCTCCGGCAACGGCGCCAAAAACTTGATGTGCTTAAGTTTTAACCCTAGTTTTCTGTAAGCGCACAGATGTACGCTGTAGTGCTTAGGGGTCGATCCACTAAAACCAAAGTAACTGCAATACGAGTTTACTTCAGATGAGAACTGAGCTAAGATGAAAATATGGGTGTTTGTTTGGGGGTTGTGAACAGTGACGAAAATAGAAAACAATGAACTTAAAAACAAGTAAACAATAAGGTCAAATCAATACGAGAAGGTGTTGGGCGGTAGTGAATTCACCGGGAATCATAGACTAGTTAACAAGAGAATTAAACATAGAGTTTTCAATAGATATGTTCCTGAAATAAAAACCCAGACTAACCTACTCACGTAATATTAATCACAAATCAATTCACTCAGATTTACTAAACTCCCATTCAGTTCTCTAAGTGTCTAGACAAATTAGTTTGATAATTTCACAAAACGTTTTAGATCGACTCACGCCGTCTAAGAGAATTTGTACATCTAAATAGGGTTAATCGATTCAACAACACTTTCGGTGAGTAAATCAACCTAATCGCAGTAGCTAGATGGTCGATCCAAGCCACATAAACGAAACACAAATTTAGACGAAGAACTCTAAAGATAAACCCTAATTTAACAAACCAGAAATCAATCCATAAATCCCTTTGAAAAATCCCTTAAAACCTAACAAGGGAATTACTCAATCATAGTGTATAAGAACACCATAGAAGTATTGTAGTTGCTGGAAATTAAATAAGAGAAAGGTAAAGAACGAAGAACGAGGATGAAGATAACGATCGATGATGGCTCCTTCGGCGACTCCTTCTTCTCCCGAAGACGGCAACTCTGAGGCGTGCGGCTCTCTTCTGCTCTCTCTCCACGACTTCGTCATTATAGAATGACCTAAAACAAGTATATATAGCCTTCTAATTCGTTAAAAACGTCTAGGGTTTGAAGAATTAGTAGTGGGCTGAACTTGGGCTTGAATTAGGTCACTTTCAGACGTCAACGTTGTCTGGCCGCGGTGGGGGTGGTTCTGACTGCGGGAGTCTGGCCGCGGTCGCGGCTTATGCTCTCCTTCGAGACTGCATTTTCTGTCTTTAGTGCATCAGGACTATTTGAAGATCTAACCGTTGGATTGTCTCCAAACCAATTGAATTAGAAAGCTGGTTGTCTCCTCTATGTTGTCTCAAATTTTGGGGATAATCAGACAGTGACAAGGTCTTCATCGAGTGTCATACTTCTGACGGTCTGCATTTATCCAAAATTGCTCATTTGTTCCAAATTGCACATCTTTCGTCCAAGTTTCCTGAAAAATCTTTTAAAACTCTAAAACATAAAAATCACTTAAAAACCATTGAAAAAAGAGTTAAAACACCTGCATAAGATATTAAAACGATCCATAAAAACGGTCAAAATCTGATGTTATCAGAAAGCCGAAGAAATAAGGTTGTTGTTTGGGAAAGCACATCAAGAAACTTCATCAAAAGGCCAAATAAAACATAGAGAGAAAGAATAAGCTTACCAAAAAACAGGATAAATAAGAACCGGAAAGAGAAGATTTGTGAGCCAGGAGAATGCGTCTGGTTGCACCTACGCAAGGAGAGGTTCTCAAATGAACGCAGCACGAAGCTATCATCTAGAGGAGGTGGTCCATTCAAAGTGCTGGAGCACATCAACAACAATGCATACCGTCTATAATTATCAGGTGATTTCAATGTGTCGAGAAGTTTCAATGTCACTGACTTAACTCTATTTAATGCATATGAGCCAGCTCCAAGGTCAGAACCCCTTAAAGAGGGAGAGAATGATGAGGACACCAACCCCAAAGATAATGAAGCCGACAAAGAATCAGACCAAGACATCATGGTGCCAGTCATGAGGGAGGTCCCCCTCCCCCCCACACACACGGTCAAGGACTAGAGCAGCTCGTGAGACGTTTGAAAAAGCGATCTGAAGCCTACTCCAACAAATAGAACTACTCAGCCACGCAGAAGTCGACCAAATGACCAACCTCGACCGAAAGACTAAGAGAAATGCCAAATCAATATTGGTGCAAGAAAACGATGTGAGCTTTGTATTTCACTGACCACATACATTCTAAGGAGATCGAGCATGAGACTTTGGAGAACGAGCGTAGAAATTTAAGAGATATGTTGGAGAGCCTTGAAACCAACCCGGCCAAGCTTAACGAGGAGGAAACACCTGCTGAACAAAGCCCAACACCAAGTCTAGCCCTGGTTTGCGTGGATCTAGCTAAAGACAACTACAAAAACCCATCAAGAGCCCAAGAAAGTCTCAAGACACTCAACATCCTGCAATGGCCGTACATTACACCAAATAAGGAAACTTGTGTCTTCATGATATCTCCAACCTAAAGGACTCACCTAGACGCTTTCTTGAAACAAGGTGAGTCTTTCAATTTGAATTTCTAACATGTTTCTTTGTTTGTTTTGCAGGATTTGTTCTTTAGTCCTCTAGTTAATTATTTCTGCACATTTGTCTCAAGTGAATCGTGCTTTCATTTCTTTTCCAAGAGTCTGTCGTTTGTCTATATTTTTTGCATTTAATTAGAGTCGAACCCTAGAAGGTTCACAGATGACGGATTGTTTATAAAGTTTCATATACAGCTTTGTAGAAACTAACCTTTTTTGCCATTATTAATAAAGATCAAACTTTCTTTCAAGAACTTGTCTCTTGAGGATACCTAGATACTTAAGCTTTATGTATTTTCCTCTTTGCTTAATGTTTCTCCAGACCTATCACGAATCTATCATCTCTGTGTGGTGTCTATTCACTCCATTTTTTGTTTGTCATTCCATATCATCTCGCTGTAAAGGCAAAGAGAGCTCATTGGCCAATTGTCTTTACTCCATCTCGATCCATTGCATCACTCCATCTCTTTGTGTAGACAAGGCCAGCCCATCGGCCAACTGTTTTCACACCACCCTACTCATTATGTGTAGCATCACTCCTTAGTGCCTACATCACATGCATAGTATTGTGCCAGACAATTTCCTGAATTCAGTTGCTTCCTCTCATCCTCTGTCTAACTTGCCCCAAACTTTTCTTTCTTTCTATCAATTAGTTTTTCAATATTATTGTTTACTCTATGACCGAGGTATATCGTTTTGGTTTACATAACATCCACTAGAATCATAGAATGAAAAACATTGAATGACTATTAGGTCGAAGCAGTTGCTACATATCTCTACTCTAAAATTTGAAAGTTGTCTTAGTGTTGGTGTTGATCTTATAAAATTTATAAGGACCTTTGCATATTCAGAAACTAATGAGTAGCATTTTAGATCTACAAAAGCAAGGACAACGCATCACTAACATAGGTATCCAAATCAAACACTATTTTTTCTTGTTTCGTTGCGTTAAAGAGCCTAGAGATAAAGTTGTTCTTTAGAAGAAAACAAAAATAAACTGAAAGATGGTTATAAAAAAAAACTAGAAACAATGACAAACACAATAACAAAAAACAATACGGTGAGAATGTAAATGGAATTTGGTCAAACCAATAAAAGCATAATTTATTTAAATATAATAAAATGTTAGTATAATGCTGATTTGACAAAACTTAAAAAAAAAAAAACAAAAATGTTAGTTTTTGAAGGGAAAAAAAAAACAAGATTTCTATTTAATATGCCCTTTGTTTTCTTAAATCTATTTATTATGTTTAGACCTCCAATATATCAGTCCAAGTCTACAACTTGACCGAGAGCATCTTTTCAACCCGAATATTTGAGAGTCAATCATCTCCCCCTACAAATCATTAACTTTTAACCATATTGGTTTGGAAAGTTTCAAATATTTCTCATTTCTGTTTCGAAAATCTGTCAAAATATCTTCACAATATTTGACGATATCTAAATTAATTTCAAAGTAAAATAGTTTAAGAAGTTAATATATTGCAAAAATGATATCGGAAACTTTAAAATGTCATATACCCATCTTTGGAATTAGAAATAAAGTCCTACAAGAAGTCACTAACTACTTACTTATTTCTTAAAATGTACAATATAGGACTATTTATATTTTTAGAAATAGAAAATAAACAGAAATTTAATTCGATCTAATAGTCAGATTCATCACAATGCTAGTATAACATACATTTGCATAAGGGGAGGTTAATATAAGTAGAAATGTTTTTTGATTAATTCTTTTAACCAAAAACTCGGTAAAACGTAGCTGTATTTGAATTCTTTTTAAATATTTAAATACAGTATCGTTTAAAGTTTTTTTGTTTATGTTTATAAAACGTTGACGGTAATGAAGTTTTAAATATGATAACGTCCGTTAAAATGAGAGTGTGGTTGATAAATTATTTTATATTATATAAAAAGAGAGATTTTTTTTTATGACACAAAAGGGAAGAAATTGTGAAATTTTATTCAGTTTATTCCATAAATTGACATCCAAAATAGGTAAATGTTTATTTTAATAATTTTTCTTCAATTAATACTTATTTTACTTTATATGGGGTTTATAGATAAATGCAAATGAAAACAGTGTGAAGTCTTCTTATATTATCCTGACCTCGCCCTTTGGCTAATCACAATTAATTAGGCATCACTATCTCTACAAATCCCTACTCTCCTCATAGTCATACAATAGAGAAAGAGAATACCATTAGTCATAAAAATCCTTGCGTAAATCTCGCTCAGATTTTATTGTTTCCATAAGCAAAATTTAAAGAACGCCTCATTTTTGTTTTTTCACTTTCATGGTTGTGGTGAAGAGAGCAAGATCATGAAGAGAACAAGAGACGACCCTTCTCACTTTCTCCATCAATCCTCCCTTTACGATGAGGATGATGATGATTCTTACTCTTCGGAATCTGGAGAGTTTCAGGCGCTTTCGCCGCCGCCGCAGAGGAAGCACTTTTGTGTGATCTGCGACAAACAGTTTAGCTCCGGTAAGGCTTACGGTGGCCATGTGAGAATCCACTCGAGCGACTACAACAACAAAGGAAAGACAAAGAAGATGAAGATGAAGAAGAAGAGAAAGATTGGCATGGTGAAGAAGGAGAAGGAGAAGGAGAAAGAGTTAGATCTGGTTAGGGCTGACGTGGAAGGTAAGATTAGGTGTTGTCTTTGTGGCAAAGAGTTTCAAACAATGCACTCTTTGTTTGGACATATGAGGAGACATCCTGATCGGAGCTGGAAAGGGATACGACCTCCTCCTCCACCGGAGAACTTCAAGCTCAGCTTTTTGGATGATGGTGATGATGATGATCAAGATGATGATGGGATGAGTAGATCCATGTCGATGAGTGATGTAACTGAGGATGTTCAAAACGCTGCTTGTTGTCTAATGATGCTGCATTGCGCCGCGATGAGGATTTTAGACATGGAAACCCCAAACTCGGAGGTAAGAAGTTCAAGTCGTTACAATGGAGAAGAACATGGAAAGAGAGATGGTGAAATCGATGATAAAGGTTTGGTTGTAGATATGAAGATAAAGATGGAGAATAATCCAAAAGATGATGAAGCTAAAGGATCCTTAGGGTTTGATTTGAATCAGCCTTACCATGAAGATAATCCTTATTCGTATTGGAACTAGTTTGGTTTGTAATTTCATTTCGATGGCATAGATTAATCTAGTTTGAAAATTAGTCAATGAATTTACAATCTATTTGCGTTTTGTTATCTCCTATCTAGGCTTTGTATATAATGAAACCTTGTTTAAGTTGCTCAGTTCTTCTTAATTCTTCTGTTTTTTGTGTCAATTTTACTTGAAGATTTCTAGAAAGTTATGTTTGGGAAGAATCTATTTTATAGTTTGATCGACTGCCAATTTCATAAACAAGATTTAGTTTACAAGTTGTGAAACAAATTCACATACATATGATATAATCAAATGTTCAAAATTTTGCTAAGCGTTAATCTTTGTCGGGCGGTTGTGTAAGGCCGAATCAACAAACTAGTAACTATACGGAGATTAATCGGGAATTTGGTGGTGGCTTAGGCATTTTATTTGGCCTTATTGTCATAATTCGAAATCTATATAGCTGATTTTGGTTTTTTTTTAGTTTAGTTTAAATGAAGGATAAAATCATCCATTAATTCTTTATCTTGTTCCTGAATGTTTATGGGATCTGCAATCCTAAAGGCGGCGGCTGACCATGTGACAGAACTCGTAAATAGAGGAGTAAGATCATACCTCATCTGAACCTCAGGATTCGCACCGTATACTGAAGATGAAAGAGACGCTCCAAAGTGTGGCCTTGTAGAAGAAGGATAATGCCAAGGAAAGTAGGTGAGGAAATAGACGAAGGCAGATGCATGACATATTCAAAAGATTTGGCCCTAAACCAAGCTGAAACCAAAACCAACCGGTTTGCCCAACAATCCGGAATCTGATTCGGTGTACTAACCTGGACCAGGTAAAATTTTATAAATATCTTATCCTTTGAAATGAGAAAGAGGATTCGATCATTTTTAACTCTCCTGTTTCACGATATCTCTCTAGAGACTTATAGATCAGAGTTTTTTCCGAGACACTCACTTTCGTCCCGAAATTTCACATTTTTTTTTCTCCGATCACTTTCCAATCAATTCCACGACCGTCTTTAGATGGTTCTTAACCGTAGAGCTCTTCCACCCAGAAAGTATTGTTTCTCTTTTCCACTTCAAATAGACTACCTTCAAAAGCCCATTGCGGATCCACCTTTTTCTAAAAAACTAAAAAACATAGTCGGTCCATTATTCCTTTCTGTTTTCCGAACATCATAATTTTTTTTTCTTATTTCTCTCATATTATCTGATTTAAGCGTTGGAAAACCATTCCACGACCGTCTTTAAACGGTCTTTAACCGTGGAGCTCTTCCACCCAGAAAGTATTGTTTCTCTTTTCCACTTTAAATAGACTATCTTCAAAAGCCCATTGCAGATCCACCTTTTTCTAAAACCTAGTCGGTCCATTATTCCTTTCTGTTTTCCGATAACATCGTTATTTTTTTTTCTTACTTCTCTCATATTATCTGATTTAAGCGTTGGAGAACCATTGAAAAACACATTCCATCGTGTTTTTTGGGCTTTTACGTGTTTGATTAATTTTATAGAAAACTTACTCCCAAGACGACTAAAGTCACTAGAAATATATATATATATATACATATATAACCTGATTTGTTGACTGCCGCGTTGTTTTTGATTGCATTCTTAGTAAATCAAGATTTACTTACTGTTTTAGTGGAGTATTTTGAAATACGTTTTCTTTTTATCATATATCAGCCCCAAGGAATATCTTCATGGAGCATTTTGACCCTTTTAGCTTTAAATTGTTTCATGATGCTAATGTTTAATACTACACCGTGACTTGTTATAGGGTTTGTATTGATATTTTCGGCTATTAACCAATCTGTAAATAACAAAACAAAAAAAATCTGAGCCTATGGTTTGACTAAACATTTGTGCTGGTGGGGTAACGGTGTATACAATATATCATGTTTAATAATTAGCTTTGTTAGTATCAAGTTCCTACTAACCATGTCTATGTGTCGTCATTTTTTGCAATATTTTGTATTTTTTTTTGTTGGAACGCAATATGGCAGCAAAACCAGAGGCTAGTGTTCGACTTGTCATAGAGGAGAGGTATGATACCGTTTCTCCCCAATATGGTGTGATGTGAGTTCCTATACAAGTCTTTCACTTGTATTCATCGTCCACACGGTAAAAAAGTACAGACAAGCAAAAAGATAGTCCCTGCTTTCTCTCGCCTTCTCGCACACAGCACACAGCTTTCTCTGTACACCAATAAACGATCTTTCACAGCATGTCAAGAACTAAACGACAAGCTATTACGATATCTACCATATCGTTTAGAATATTTTCCCATAATAACCAAACGTGTCTTGTAACGCTGGATAGAGCCATCTGCATTATATTTGATATGAAAAACCCATTTGGAGGCGAGTGCTTTCTTGCCCGGAGGAAGTTTAGTCAAGGATCATGTTTTGTTCTCTTCAAGAGCTTCGATTTCAAAACCCATTGCTTTTTCGCCATTGTTCAAATTGGACCTTTAAAGTAAATGGGCTCCGTCGTGAGAGTAATAGCGGCTAAGAAGGCTGCATGACCACTGGAAAAACGTTCACAGTTGACAAAATTTGCGAGAGGGTAAGGACACATACCAGAAGAGGCTGAATTGGATTGAATGTCGAGAACAGGGGCTGTTTTGTGTAAGACGTGAGCAGAGTAAAGCTGATATGGCTTGAGGCGTGTAGATGTGAACTTTTGTCTCATACCACGACCAAGTTCTTCGACAATAGGAGCAGGAGGAGCAGCATCGGTTTGTGATTCGATGTTGGTATGATCAACAACCGGAGGAGAGACAGAGGAGAGAGAGGAATCCACAAGAGGAGCATTGTCAACTGTGAGAGGAGTATTTGTCAGCTGAGAGAGGAGAAGGAACCTCGTCCTCAATGAATACAGGCTGAGGTGGCGATGGTGAAGAAACTTCTTCGAGCACAGTCTTGTCAGACTCAATAGATGCATAAGGAAAAGAAGTTTCTTGAAAAATAACATCTCGCGACATAAAAATGGAACCATTTTCAAGATCCAGAACCTTCCATCCTTTTTGCCCTTGTGGATACCCGAGAAAAACACAACGCCTACTGCAAGCATCAAACTTATTTGTTCTCGCAACCTACCGTTTTGCATAACACAGACTCCCAAAGGTCGAAGATTAGAGTAGTGTGGAGGTGCATTATAGAGGAGTTCATATGGAGATTTACCATTGAGAAGTGGCGTTGGAGTGCAATTGATAAGATAGCGGAGGTAAGAATACTTTCGCCCCAAAAATTGGTAGGAAGATGGCTTTGAAAGAGGAGAGCTCTTGCCATGTTCAAGATGTGGTGATGCTTAAATTCGGCTCGTCCGTTTTGTTGCGCGTTCCGACGCAAGAGGTTTGATGAATAATACCATTGGCAGAAAAGTAGGGTTTCATGCAGGTGAATTCAGTGCCATTGTCACTGCGTACTATTTGAACTTTCTTTCCGAATTGATGTTCTGTCATAGCAAAAAAATTCTTTAAAACTGAAGCGACTTCACTTTTTGCAAGTAACAAGTGAGTCCATACTGGGCGAGAGTAATCGTCAACAATAGTGAGAAAATAGTGAGCACCACTAGACGAAGGAATACTGTAAGGCTCCCATACGTCGCAATGAATAAGAGAAAAACACTCAGCTGCTTTATTATTACTATTGGTAAATGAATCACGAGTTTTTTTTGCACGTATGCAAACATCAAAAGCTCCAAAGAATCAAAACTCTTAACATCAAAACCATCTAAACTAGATAAGAACGTAGACAGAACTTTCTTACCAGAATGTCCTAAACGCTGATGCCACAAAACTGCCTATGCCACTGTCGACGTCTTGTGTGCTTGTGCTTGAACAATCCCGCGAAAATGATAAACCCTGTTCTCTTCCTCACCTGCTCCAATCGGCATCTTCGAAGAACGGTCCTGTATAACGCAAAATTTGTCAGTGAATAAGGCAAAACATGAGTGTTCTCTAAGGAGACGAGCTAGTGATATAAGAGTGCAAGATAAATCTGGCACATAGAGAACATGACGAAGAATCATGTCTCCACCGAGATGGAGTGACCCTTCTTTGGTGGCACGAGAGTGTTTTCCATTCGGTAAAACGACAATGCGATGAGAAATATCACTGAGATCGGTGGGGAGATCTGCATCACCCGTCATGTGATGTGATGCTCTCGAGTCTAAAAGATAATCAACGTTACCAGAGAGCTTCTCAGATGAAGGTGAGTTTTCGGGTTTGAGTAAATTCACGATCGCTGACCATGCTTCTTTGCTTACACAAGGGAGATCTGGAAAATCTGGAGTTGAGGTGGTTGTAGCTTGAGCATTGTTAGCACGAGGAGGAGCTGAGCAACCTCTACCGCGACCGCCTCTGCCGCAACCACCTCCCCTTCCTTCGCTGGAGGAGTCAAAATAGCCGTCGAGATAGCCGTGCTTGACAAAACACGTATCGAATGTGTGGTTTGTACGACCGCAGTGAGTACACAACAGATTGTTCCTGCCTCGCCCAACAGAGTTAATTGCGTTCACGTCCAGATTGAACAACAAAACTGACAGCATTGATGTGTTCTTCCTTGGTGCGAGAGACGGTGAAATGTCTTTCTTCAGCAACAAGCTCCAAATAAATCTGATCGAGACCAAAATCCTTTTCACGCGTGAGATGCCCCAAAAGATTTGTACGACTAGTTCCAAACCGTGAAACATCCAAACCCATGAGAAACTGGTGGATTCTTTCATGATCTCGCCGTTTGTTGTGAGATGAGAGAATTGCACAGCTTGGTTTATTACAGCAGCAACCAAGCATAGGTTCGTAGTCATCAAGATCATCCCACATAATCTTAAGCTTACCAAAGTATGTAGCAATATCTTGTCCTTCTTGACGACACACCACGAGATCAGCTTTTAATTCATGAACACGAGGCGCGTTACCGGCTGAGAAACGAGTTTTTAAACTCTCCCACATAACCTGAGCATTATCGAAAACAGAGATTGCACAATGAATCTTTGGTTCGATGCTTG